TTACAGCTTCGGAAGCTCTATGCAGGGTCACTGTGAATTGGAATTGATTCACTTGCAGTGGGTTTATAGCTACATCGATACGCTTCACTGAGTTTGTTCCTCTAGAGAACCCAGCCACTGACAGCTGCTAACCAGAAGGTCGGTGGTTTGAATCCAGCAGGTGCTCCAGCTATAGTATGACTCTCCAGGAGAAACGATCTTGGAAACACTATTGGGCAGTTCTGCTCTGTCCTGCAAGGTCACTATGAGTCAGAACCAACTCGACGGCAGTGGGTTTGGGTTTAATGTGCCATACAAGACACATGCTCCTGACACTACTGAAACTGTAAGAAGTGCTGAATCTTTAGCACCAAGTGGGTTCTGTACATGCAGATACAATTTATCATAGCCATCAGTACTGTTGGCTCATGTCAACCCTACCTGACAGAGTAGAAATACCCCCATGGAATTTCCTGACTTCCTAGGTTGTCATCTATTGTGTCACTATATACTCATATATCATCTGCTCACAGCGCCTCCTGGTGTAATGGAGGAGAACTGCCCACAGGGTTTCCTAGGTTGTCATCTATTGTGTCACTATATACTCATATATACTCATATATTATCCACTCACAGCACCCCCTGATGTAACAGAGGAGAACTGTCCCACAGGGTTTCCTAGGCTGTCATCTATTGTGTCACTATATACTCATATATACTCTTGTAGATCATCCACTCACAGCGCCCCCTGGTGTAACAGGGTAGAACTGTCCCACAGGGTTTCCTACGCTGTCATCTATTGTGTCACTATATACTCATATATACTCTTATAGATCATCCGCTCACAGCACCCCCTGGTGTAACAGAGGAGAACTGTCCCATAGGGTTTCCTAGGCTGTCATCTATTGTGTCATTATATACTCATATATACTCTTATACATCATCCACTCACAGCGCCCCCTGGTGTAACAGAGTAGAACTGCCCCACAGTTTCCTAGGCTGTCATGTATTGTGTCACTATATACTCATATATACTCTTATATATCATCTACTCACAGCGCCCCCTGGTGTAACGGAGTAGAATTGCCCCAGAGGGTTTCCTAGGCTATCACTATATACTCATATATACTCATGTATCATATATTACCCACACCTATCTGTCCTCCCTTCTTACTATGGTCAAAGCTGAGACACACCACACTATTTATGGGAGGTGACGAGTCTCTTGCTTGCTCTGGGTTGACTCTCCCTTTCTTTCCTTGGTGCCATCTGGAGCACATTTGCTCTTGCCCCCGTGTGACAGAGGAGAACTGCCCCTATAGAGTTTCCTAGGCTGTCATTTTTACAAAAGCAGATCACAGGGTCTTTTCTCTAAGGAGACTTTAGGTGGTTTTGAACCACTAACCTTTTAGTAGCAGCTGATCACTTAGTAATTGTGCCAGCCAGGCTCCTAGGCATCTAATCAGTGTTCACTAATCCTTTTTATAAAGGAAAAGTGGTATTGAGTATAACTATAGGTTGTTGTTGTTGTCAAGAGCCACTAAATCAATTCTGACTCATTGTTTCTTAGACTGTCAACCTTTCTAGGAGCAGAAAGCCTTATTTTTCTCCTTCGAAGCATCATGTGGACTCAAACTGCCAACCTTGTGATTTTCAGTGCAGTGTTTATCTTACAGAGCCACTGTGCCCCCAAAGTAATTGCATGTGCTGCTGGAGGTGGTGGTGGACGTTTTGGTGGTGGTGGTGGTGGTTGTGGTGGGTTGGTAGAGGCTGATGGTGTTGTTGGTGATGGAGGTAGTGGAGGTGTGGGTTGTGGTGAAGGTGGTGGAGGTGGTGGTGGTTGTGGTTCTGTGCCGTGGACTCTCTTCTGACTCATAGAAACCCTGAGTAGGAGCCTTGGTGTGACCCTGTAGCATAACCACTGGGCTGCTAACCACAAAGTCGGTAGTTCAAACCCAACAACTGTTCCTCTAAATCCCTATACAGCAGAGATGGGGAACGTCCGGCCTGAGAACTGTATGTTGCTGCTGCTGTTGTTGTTGTTGTTGTTAAGTGTCATCAAGTCGATTCCAACCCATAGCGACCTGTATAGGGTTTCCGAGGAGCAGCTGTATGTTGTTGTTATTAGGTACCATTGAGTCAGTACCAACCCATAGCGACTTTATGCACAGCAGAACGAAACACTGCCCGATCCCTGGGCCAGCCTCACTACTGTTAACCATGCTTGAGTCCGTCAATGCTGCCACTTGGCCAATCCATCTCATTGGGGGTCTTCCTCTTTTTCTTTGACCCTCCATCTTGCCAAACATGATATCCTTCACCAGCTAGGGGTCCCTCCTGACAATGTGTCTGAAGTATGAGAGATGAAGTTTAGCCATCTTGGCCTCCAAGGAGCACTCTGGCTGCACTT